CTCTGGAACAGGGTATATGAAATCACGCTCTCTCCTCTCTGGAACAGGGTATCTATTTTCGCAATACCGGAACAGGGTATGATTTTAAGCGATCTTGCTCTTGAAAAAGGTATGAATTTCATCGATTTTACTCTGGAACAGGGTCAGGGTTCAGAGGGCTCAGCGGCACATCCCTACTTTAAATGGGCAAGAGTACCGCTCCCCCCCGGGCAGGCAGCCCAATCAGGATCACACGCGCTGGAACTAGRCGCTGGAAGAAAGACTTTTCCAACTTGCTTCCCGCCAAAAACGGGTCGCAGAATTTTGTTCGCGCTCGCTCTTTTTTGAATTATGAAAATCTTAGCGCGCGCTATTAAAATAAATGCCATCTTTATTGGCGCGAAACGCCAATGAAAACTATTTGATCTCTCGCGATTTCAACGCTCGCATTTTTTCTCTTCTTTATTTGCTTTGCTCGTGACTCTGCAAGTCACTCAGAGAAGTCGGCTTAGAGCAAGTCTAAGGGGACTGGTGTTGAGTTTTCTTACCCGCTAAGAACACCCAGAACAAGATTGAGGACGAAAAAAGATCCCCAAATAATGAGAGTTACAAAGTACAGCCATGGCCAGGAATTACCCACAGCATCGTTAATCTGAAATATGATGAATAAGTAAATTCTTTATTATTAGAGCAGTTTTCGTATGGCTGTGAAAACTTGTGCCGTATGCGTAACTTGCCGTGACTGTAATATTTCCTACAATTTTTATTGGCTGATTTTTTTCTCGTACAATGTGATTGGTCTAGCAGTGTCGTGACATTTGCGTGACCGTGTCCACGCCGTGACATTTGCGTGACCGTGTCCACGCCGTGTTCATGCCGCGTTTCCTGTAATTTGATTGGATGGAGAGTCAATTCTTGTGCACAACCGTGTTTGTCGTTTTGGCCTCGAGCTTTTTACAGTCATACGAAAATAGCKCTATCACTATCATCAACATCCTCAATCCACTTCCGTCGAGATTAGAGACACTACTTTAAGCCATTGAGTCTTGTTCATCATTGCGCGCCCAAGTAGCACTAAAAGCCAAAAGGCTATTAAACTTGTGGCCCTCAACAATGAATGAGGTTTGCAAAACGACATGGTAAAAAAAGAACGAACTTGAACTTGAAAATCAAATAAGCTATTTTTAAAAGCTTTTCGTGACATCATAAAGTCTATCGATTTGCAAGCCTCTTAGCAAGCATCATTAGAAGTCTATATTTAGGACCTCAAGCAGAGACGCCAAATGATGGCCGCGTTTTCTGTTGTTTTAATCAGACCTTGATTCATTTTTTTAATGTATTTTTTCTCACAATAGCCTCGTTATAATAATAGGTACACTAGAGTACAAACACTATAAGTGTTCAACATAAATACCACTAAATACTGCTAAATAATGCTTGTTTAATTAGCACTATTTACTGCTAAATAGTGCAAAGTGTTGCACACTTTTAGTGTTTGTACTCTACTGAACGACCAAGTCTTGTATAAAGAATACACTCATCATTTGGTAAGGTTGTTAGTGATCTAAATAGAGATACTATAATGTTTTGAAAGGGAACGRATGAAAAGAAGGATATAAAATATAATAAAAATAGAAATGAATAAATCTTATAAAAAATAAATAGGATTTTGAAGTGGAATTTTTCAATTGGAATCCACTGAATTATCATAGATAGATTTTTGTGGCTATATATAACAAGGCTACTTTGAGATTCTAATTTTTACAAGTATCTCCTCAAGAGAAATCTCGAAAATGCCTGGCTCCTCCTATTCCTGTATTAATAAAAGGAATGTGGGATTTCATATAGGTTACTATCAATAGACGTCACTTCCGGTAATAGCTCTTTTTTGATGGCTTGTAGAATCCTGGAGGTTGTTTTGATCTCTTGTTTTCTGGTTTGATGTCGTGAAAATAGTCAAATACAATAGTTTGAGGACTTATTTTGATATGTTTTGACTTAACATCCGCTAGTTGCCTCCCAGTTAGCCGCTTGTTTGCCCCCCAGTCAACTCCAAAAAGTCACGTGATTGATAGTAAGCAATACTACTTACACTATATAAAACGTCTGTCCATCCTTCAAGTGTTATACATTGAAAGACTGTAAGACAAGCCAGTCCAATGTTATCAAAATTGGTAATACCATAGTTAGGCCCTTCCCATTTAGCAAGGCACACTTGGCCTTCACCTGACTGTGAACAAGAATACCCTTCTGTGTCTGTACTGCAAGGATGTGGTTCATCATTTGTTAATTGACCTGAAGATAATCGCATGGTATTCGTGAATATTTAGACATAAGGGACTTTGAGATTTGCAAAATCTACGACGGCGACATCAAGGAAAGTAAAAGGGGAAGTAAATGGGAGGGGAAAAGACCGTTTTTTGTCGCAATAATAATAATAATAATAATAATGAAAATAATAACAATAATAATAATAATAACAATAATAATAAT